GTATCGGCAAGTACTCAGATCCAAGTATCGGTATCGTATCGGTTTGAAAAAATTGGTATCGTTGCATCCCTACTTGGTGGTGACATAAACACGTACAGCACTGAACATGTGTTCCACCTCTGTGTTAATGGAAGTAATCAGGCTTCCTTGATAGAGCCCACACTTTCTTAAATTTACAATCCATGGGGAAAATTGAAAGTCTCAGGAATCTGCAAGCTACCCATCAAATAATGGAAGTCCAAAGCTTTCTCCGAATTATAATTCAACACCGTGATGATAATGACAATGATGAGCAGAAATAGAGGGAAAATCCAAGTCCACAATGATGCCTTTCTTTCAAAAGCACCAGATTAATGCAACCACAGAATACTATCATATGTTGCACTATACAAACGTACTGTCCTCACAGTTCTGGTCACTTCCACATGTCACTGGAAAATGCATGAAATCTATCAGAACTTGCTAATAGGACCAAAACTAATAAATTCTCCACTGTTTGGAAGATTGACTTTATCACCATGTTTTCTTCCTTCAAACCGTCCTTCAGCCCTCTGGCAGTTACCCTTAACAAACACGACGCTTGACAACAAACCAACATAACTACAGCACAAAATACACATTTAACAATGGAATCATTTCATATTATGTCAGAATAATAAACACTTTGTATTTACTGTGTTACTACCAAAAAGTCACGCTGAACATGGCTGAAGTGTTAAGGAAATTATAAATATCGTCAAAAGCATCAGGCTTATTCTGAATTATTTTAAATGTGAGTTTTTCCTTCCTCCTTGTCCTGTTTTGCTTCCTTCACCTTTAGCTAATCATGGCAGGTGGCTGCCCCTCCCAGAGACTGGCTCAGCTGTTGGTTTCTTCCTGATAAAATTGAGTTTTTCCTTCCTATTTCCTAACAAGTACTAACTCACAGGGGTCGTCTAATTATTGAGGTTTCTCTATCATTTTAGGGAATTTACCTTACAATTTAAAGACAACTGTTGTGATTTGGAGCTATAAAACTGTATTGAATTATAGAGGACACCTACAAAATATAATATGTGTAAAAATGTAAAGCTAAAAGAGATAATCCACAAATGCATGAGCCAGGAAAAGTACAGACACAATGGGAAGAAGGGTTGAAACAACTCATTATGTTAAATTGGTTCCCATCATTTGTTATATTGATGAAATCTGAAGTGAAGTGTGATTTACTGTCTGCTCAAATGCAGCAACATTTACATGGATGCTTCAGACCAACCCAAGATGTTCACAGAGTAAGAGGTCAAGCTCACTGAGAAACTCAATCATCTGTGAACTGGCAGCTTCGCCTTTCTTCCTCACAGTGTCGATAACACAACGAGCTCTGTTGCTTCTGTTTTGCATGGCGTCTGCTTCCTCCCTCTCAGCATCAGTTATCACCTTTTTCTCCAGCAGTTTGTCCAGCAGGCTGTTGAGAACAGGTGGTGATATCCCATCGATGAAGCAGCTCCGTACATTTAACAGCCTCTCATTGGGAGAGAGACTCAAAGGCATTTGCCCACACAACGATTTTACTCTAGAAGGCAAAAGATAAACTTGTCTTTGCCACATGCTGGTGGAACTGATGCTGTCTCTAATAAATAACTGAATATTGTTCATGTTTCTTTCTAAAATCACCTGGAAGGATGGGAAGTAGTTGTCATAGGACTCTTCATCAAATTCAGCCTCTATTGGCTGAACTAGAACCGAGTCATCTTCAGGAACAGTGGACAGAGTGTAAACCTGCTTTGGATGCAGTTTACAGTGAGGAGATGTCTCTATGTACCTCTCATCTCCAACTAGTTTCTTCCTGGTGTGCAGCACATCTCTCAGAGCAACATTTTTAGGCAACAACAGCACGCTGAGGAAGGATGTGAGATCAGGATCAACTGGAGGTTTGTAGAAGAGCAGAACCAACGCTCGGACTGGGTCAGGAGGAGAGTCTTCATCCTTGACATTACCATAACCAGAAAACCCTGTGATGTTTACAACAGCATGAGTTTCTGTTATCTTGTGAGGGGTGATGAACTCTATGCCCTCATCCTTCACATGAGCGACCTGCAAGAACTGACCTCCACCTGTGGAGATGAGCTCACAGTGTGGGAGATGAAGCTGACACACAGACTGCTGCTGACATTTGATGTCAAACAGGGGTCCTGCAGGCTTCTTGTGGTGTTGGGCCAGCAGCTTCCTGTTCCACGGGACAGTCCTGTAAACCACGTCTCCTTCTCCCTTCATTAAAAACACCAGGCCGGTCACACTGCACTGGTACAGGCCTGGACAGGAGCACTGGAACGTGTAGTTTTCATCATCAAAATCATCACTGATAACTGGTGTAAACTCATTTAACAGCGTATCAGGTGAGCTGTTTACTTGTGTAAAGTTGTTCTTTTCACGAGGTATTTTGCTCAGTGAGACCATGCTGTGAGAACAAGGCAAGAGGCAGGATCTGCTGGACAGCCCACTAGATCCAGATGTTCCTCAAAGTTTATAATCATCTGGCATGGTTTCAGACTTCATAATACTGTGTGTCATGATTTCTTCACTCCCAGGATTTGCAGTGCTGCTACCTGCTGCTGATTCGTCAACAAAAGAAGTCACAGAGAGGAAGCAGGAAGGAGGATATTCAGAGTGACTTGATTTTGGATTTTGGAGCTGATTAACTTTCAGCCCATCACCTGGAGTGTTAGAAAGGAAGCTTCCTGTTGTTTCTGTCTGTGTTTGCTTGTGTTTAACACGAGGAATTGACTGATCTTGATCAAACATCGGTTTTGTAAGTAAGCTTTCTGCTTTTTTTGTTTCACTTTTCTTGTGTTTACCATGAGGGAGTAAATCAGAGCCTGCTTTTTTTGTCTTTTTTCTTTTCTTTCCCTTCATTTCATACTGTTGTGGAACATCGTTTCTTGACAAATTAGTTAGTTCAGCTATTTCTCTTCTATTCCATGCTGGATTGTTACACTGGTTGCCGCCATGTATCAGGGCCTTACAAGACTCACAAATGGCAAAAATGTTTTCTTTGCCTTTAGTGCTCTCACTCCCAGGCCAAGTTTTCCTCCTTTGATTTGTGTTTGATGGTATATCCATTTTTCCTGTATCACTGTGTTTCATCTTGTCTCAGTTTTCACTGACTACTGTCAGAATTTCTCTCATGACCTTTTTGGCTCTTGTAGTTTTCACCTGCTGGAAACAGAATAAAAAAA